GTGACGAAGTCATCAGAAAAGCTAACTGCACTTTATCGTGTATCAGCATGACAAAACAGAGCCATGGAGGTGATACTTCCCCTCTATCAGGTACTGGTCAGACCGCAGTTGGAGTACAGCGTCCAGTTTTGAGTGCCATGCTTCAAGAAGGATCCCCTACCCCAGCCCCAGAACAATGTGTAGGGTAGACTAGGGCCTCCAATGGGACACTTACATGCCTGTACACCAATGCCAGGAGCTTGAGGAACAAACACGAGGAACTGGTCCTCCTCCTAAATAAGAATGACTATGATCTCATAGGGATAATGGATACCTGGTGGGACTCCACCTATGACTGGGCCACAGGTATAGACAGCTATACCTTGTACAGGAGAGATCACGTAGACTGGACATTAGGAAGATTAATTGGACATTAGGAAGAACTTCACAGTTAGAGTGGCTAAAATCTGGAATGGGCTCCCAAGGGAGGTGGTGCTCTCCCCTACCCTGGGGGTCTTCAAGAGGAGGTTGGATAGGCATCTAGCTGGGGTCATCTGAACCCAGCACTTTTTCCTGCCTATGCAGGGGGTTGGACTCAATGATCTATTGAGGTCCCTTCCGACCCTAACATTTATGAATCTATAAGACGGGAAAGGGGTGGACGAAATTCTTTGCCTTGCCCTTACCCTGTGTGGCGAGGGCTGGGATTTAGCTAGAGTCATACTGAGAGTTTTGGCCAAATTAATAAGTGGTGGGTGTTGTTGGCAAGAAGACCTAGTCTTCTAGACTACTTGTATTTCCTTAGAGATGGCTGGATGTTCATCAACTGCTGCCACACTCCTAAGTATGGTCTTGAGTGCCAAAGATAGTTAGGTGCTTTAAAATACAGGTGGTGGTAGTAGTAGTATTTCATAGAGTCCTAGAGAAGCGGGGCTGGAAGGTACCTCCAGAGGTCACATCTAGTCCAACTCCCTGCCTGAGGCGGCAGAATCAGCCCCGTCTAAACCAGCTCAGACACATCCATTTTATAAACTCTTCATAAAATTACCGTCAGCCCTGGCACAACATAAGACCTTACACCCAAACCTGCCATGGGCAAAGCAGGGGGACCGTGGCAGCCGAAGTCCTGCTTCTATAAAAAGTTAATATATTACATTGTGGTATTTGTAGCACAAATCCTTTTTTGCAGGCATCGAAGGAACCTATTCCTACAAACTAGCCCGGGTCTACTGTCTCGCCAGCTCCCTAGCTGCAATAGACATCTAAATCTAGCTCTGTGTACTTCCCTGACTCAGCCAGGGGGTGCAGACTGGGGGTGTAGTGTATATGGCTGCTTTGTAATATTTAATTTATACAACACTAAAATAACCCCTGGTTTTATTTGCAGACATAGAAGAATATTCTCAGGAAGAAATATGCAAGGTAAGAAATGAGATCGTAGCTGCTAGGACATGCAGATGCTTATCACTCTGGAGCTTAAGACCATGTTTCTCAAAGTAGTGGTGATTTTCTCTAACCCAGTTGATATCCTCCTCTGCCATTCGGAGGGGTCCAGGTGCCAGAGGATGTCTCTCTTATACCTGAGCTCGCTGGGTAGGGAGGAAGCCTGCTAATTGATTCATCTGAATGTTGTTGACCCTAATGAAAGTTGTATATATCCAGCTCTTATAGTGGCTTGCAAAATTTTATACTGCTAAGCTAGCTTTTCCTAGGGTCTCTTGAGTGTCCTGGGATCTTATTTCTTATTGGATAAAAAAATCTGACTCCTTTTTTTGTTTCCCCTTCACCCCACAGGATCTTGCGGCCTTCCTGGACAAGCTGGTAAGAAATCCCCCATGACTTATGATTTTCCTTTGATTGCTCTGAGATGCTGTGCCTGCCTGAGCCCGAGCAAGTGCTCCTGAGCGACTTGGGGCCTGGTGACCCAAACTTGGGCCCTGGTGACCTTCAGCACTACCATCTGCCAGGCGCCGTCTCCTGAGAGACGCTCCCATTACTCTACCGCCATGCATTGATCTTTAGAAGTAGATGCAAGAGGCTCCTGTGTGATACAGACCGACTTAGGCTCGCTCCATATGAACATCCCTTGGGGCTCCACCTTCCCTACAACCCGTCCATGCAGCAGCTTGTTGGTGTCTTGCTGTGTGGTTGATGGCCTGGGCTCCTACCCAGTCAGGCACAGGGCTGCTGTGGAGTGGCTGGAGGACTTCCAGCCCCAGCTCTGTGTATGATTCTTAAACAAAATGTCAGACGCCACTCACAGTTCAAGTTGGCTTCAAGAATGCAGTCCAGCTCACTGGGACTGCTCCCCTTGGTTGGATGGGCAATTTGACCCTATCCAGGTATAGTTCTCTGCCTGGAGCTCCTGGCCCTGGCAGCGGTAGTGAAGTAATCTCTCCCCAGTATAAAGAATGAAACAAGTTGCAGAAGAAACAGGGAGGCAGTGCCCTTCCTCCCACTCGTGCATCCCTGTGGGTTGCCGGATCCTTGGGTCCTTGGCCCCTCTGTTCTTGCCAGTCACTTGCATCCTTCCCGGTATGGGTAGTGCCATCTCTTGGTGTTCCCTCGGCACCTCCAGGATACAGCACGACTAGATGTGCTGGCTGGGAGCCTGCAGCTGCCATGCTACTGTCCCCCGCTTCTCTGTCCCATGCCGGCTCTTGTAGCCACCTCCCAGTGCCGGCTAATGTCGCACTCCCGCGCCGTCCCAGCTGCACCAAGAGTGTGCTTAAGAATCACGCAGGCGGCCCTGGCCACTGTTCTGCACCTCTGGCTGCTGTACCTGTGGCAGGTAAGTTGGTTTTTTTTTTTTGTTTTTTTTTTCCTGGTTTTGGCACCCCCTGGACTGCTTGCCAGGGCCTCTGGCCTCCTCTCACTGCCCCTCCGTCCCTGGCACCGGGGTTTCCAGCCCCTCCGGCCCATCGCCCTGCGACAGATGCATTTTCATGATGTTGCCTTTCATAAATCAAAAAAGACTTATCTCCCTGCCTGGCCTGAATGAAACCTATTCTTATTTGTGCATCTTACCTGTAACTTCCTCATCCTCCTTATGAGACATCCTAGATCACTTGCCTGGGGAGGGAAGAAATGAGCTGGGAAATGTCTGCAAAATTCAGCCTCATTTATACTTCTATTACAGAGACAATAGGACGGTCCCTGGTGCCTTGCAGAGCAGCTAGAGCAGATGTCTTAGTCAATTCTGCCTCTTGGCTATGATCAAGAGTAGGAACGGCTTAACAGCAGATGGTCCTCTGTTGAAGGCTGGGGTTGCAGTATGGCAGTGGTCACCAGCCGGTTGATTGTGACTTGACTGGTCGATTTGGGGAATGAGGAAGGTGCCTAAAGGCTTGTGAAGGGAATGAACGTAGACAAACTGGAGAGAGCCCAGTGGAGGGCAATGAAAGAAAGAGGGGTGAAGGGGGGCAGGACTGGTGAGGAGAGGTGAGGGAACTGGATTGATTTAGTCTGGAGAAGAGAAGACCAAAGGGGATTGAATAGCAGCCTTCACCTCCCTGCAGGGGGGTTGCAAAGAGGATGGAGCTGGGCTGTTCTCATTGGGGGCAGATGATGAACAAGGAGCAATGGGCTCACATTGCAGCAAGGGAAGTTTATGTTAGATATTTAGGGTGGTGAAGCACTGGAACAGGCTCCCCGGGTAGGTGGTGGACTCTCCACCCTTGGAGGTTTTGAAGCCCCGGGTAGACAAAGCCTTGTCTGGCATGATGTAGTTGGGGCTGGTCCTGCTTGGAGCAGGGAGTTGGACTAGATGTGACCTCCTGAGGTCCCTTCAACCCTCATTTTTGTGATTCTCTCTGAAGTCTGAGGTGGGGAAAAGATGACTTCACAAGATTGCATGCATCATGTAAAGGGCCAACATGGGAACTGCGGCTTGGGTCCCCCCCTACCTCCATTCTCCTCTCATGGCCTGACCGCACAACCCAGGCTAATTTCCTGGGAGATATAGGAGCATTGCCAGCAGATCGAGGGCAGTGATTCTTTCCTTCTATTCAGCACTGGGGAGGCCACATCTGGAGTCCTGTGTCCAGTTGTGGGGCCCCCCTACAGAAAGGATGTGGACATATTGGAGAGAGTCCAGTGGAGAGCAATGAAAATGGTTGTGGGGTTGGCATCAGGGCAATAGGTCCACCACTCTTCTATTCCCAAATTTCCAGACCTGTGGGCTGGATCTGGCCCACAGGCTGGAGGCTGAGCACCCCTGGTTGAGGCTATGGGTGACATTTTAATCCCTTTCGAAGAGGGGGTTCTCTCTCTGGGAATGTGTCTCAGCTATTGCGTCTGCACGTCCCTATAAGGATACAACCAAGCTAAATTCTCATTGCTTGAACCCTAAATGCTTCAGGGTTACAGTTGAATGGGCTTTGCAGATGCAGTGAGCATGGGCATTTTGAATAGGTGACAGTACAGCATGTGGGGCATGCAACCTCTGACTGGCTGCTGTGATTTCAGAGGAAACCCCTCCATGGAGAGCTCCTTTCACAGGCTCCCTTGCACCTTGGAGGGAGAGCATGGGACTGGGTCCTTGTTGAACCCAGTCTGGCCACTCCTAGGTTAACAGGATGGGTGATCAGTCTCCTCTCCTATGCAGTTCCCATCTCGCTGACCTTCTGCAGCGAGGGAGGGGGCATGCTCCTCTCTGATCGATGGTGTGGCGCATGGAAGAGAAGCCGACGACAAGGCCAGCAAATTGTCGCTGCCTATATTAAATATAACGTTCCCTCTTCTCGCACCCTGTGGGCCATCTATCTACCTTGACAATGTAATTAGGCTGGTGGCTTCATCCCGCTGCCAGAACTGAATCAATCTCCATTTCATCAAATGAGACTAAGAAGAGGGAGCTGCAAATGTCGATACCTGCAGGGGATTTTCCCGGTTAGCTCATAAAAAAAACCTCGCAAACTTTTAATGTGGTATTAAAGGGCTGTTCCTTCATGAAATGGCCCTGGTAATAACTGGCTCCTTGCTCAGCAGTTCTTTCCTTGTCCCAGCTACAGCTGGGTAAAACTCCTTGACCAACATGTGAGCTCTGACAACACCTATGGTTTTAATGCAACATTTTGCTAATTTTTTAATCTAATTTTCCCAAATTTTATGCCTTTTTTTTTTTTTTAGACAATTCCATTATCTAGAAACATTTGGTTATTTTGAAGGGGTGAGAGCATCCTTAAATGGAATCAAAGCCTGTAATAAATTCTTTTTAGGCTTGTTTTTAAGTTCAAATGGCTTAAAATTAAAAAAAAAAAACACCCCCCCCCCCCCCCAAAAAAAACAAAAAACAAAACCAAACCAAAAAACAACCAAGGAGTTTGATTATCACCTGCGTGGTTCTTCTTTCTTTTCATGCTTGTAGCCTCGGAGCTTAAGGTCTGGAGCTTGTCCTGCCTTTCTCTGGAGGGCAATTCTTATAGGCAACAGCTGCGAGGTTTGGACTTGAGGGAGGTTTCTTAAAAATGTGGCCATTTAAATGACTCATTTCTTTTTATTCCCATGACGCCATTATTTAAAATGCCTGAGAGGAAATCAGTCTAATGAGTTCCTTGTTCTTTCTGAACAGGTTTTTAATAAAGAATGCAATATTTGGGAGGACAGGCGTGTATACCAAGTAATTATTGCCCTTTGGCCGCAGGCATTGGCAATGCCGGGGTCACTTCTGTAGGGCGTTCTTGGTGTTTCTGGTTTGTGCAATGTGGTGGATGAAGGTTTGTAAGTGGTGATTTATTTATTTATTTATTTTTTTGGGAGGGGGGAGAGGGGAGCTTTCTTTGGATTGCCTATGAACATCCCAGCCCAGTGTTTCCTAATGGTCACGCCCCAGCCCCCCTCTGGGCTTTTTTCTTCCTTGGATTGAATGAGCAGACTCGTTAGGGTTTTAAACCTGATGTGGTCTGATCGAGTAGTTCTGGCACTGGAACTGCAAGTGTCCGCACTGAAAGCTCTCCCACCGCGGTGGGCCCCCTTCCTTTTGCTGGTTCAGCACCACCAGCCCACGGGCTGAGAGTAGCCCTCAACTGGCTGGAGGGACGTGGAGATGTCTGTGCCTTTGGCTGGGTCCTGCAGCCCCTTCCCAGAGCGTACTTGGCAACTGTCGGCACCATGGAGCTGCCCCTGAAGTTCCCCGTGTATGTGCTTGGTGTCTCTTTAGGTGGTGCAGCCTCCATCCTTGGAGGTTTTGAAGACCCAGGTAGACAAAGCCTTGTCTGGGATGATCTAGTTGGGGCTGGTCTTGCTTTGAGCAGGGGATTGGGCCAGATTTGACCTCCTGAGGTTCCTTCAACCTGAATTTTCTGTGACTCTGTGATTCCTGTCTGCCTCCTGAAGTTCTGGTGGCAGAAACAGCCTTGTGTAGACAAGGGCTAGGCATGATGTGGTGGATAATGCCATGTTAAATACTGTTTGAGTCCAGTGCTTTTTAAAGCC